CTTAAGCGGCACTATAATAGTAAGCTTGCCGGTTACTATAGTATAGAGAGGTCGTACGAGCTACTATCGCGTATATACTACTAGCTAAATAGTAAGCGGGATATAAAGGACTACGTAAATACGTATACCGTATATTAACGAGTTAAAGTACCGAAACACTTACTATTTAGCGAGTTGTCTTTACTCCCTGTTCTAAAGAAGCTATTTACTAAGCTTATAATAGATTTTATTATAGGCCTTCCGCCTACTAAGCGTAGGGGCAGCAAGGATATATATAATGCTATCCCAGTTATCGCAGACTAGTTTACTAAGGGCGCTCGTTACATTCCTACCCGAAAGGATTAGACGGCTATTAACCTAGCTAAGTCGCTATAGACTAGTATCTTCTATACCTATTAGGGAACCCCTAAGGGCATAGTCTCCGATAGGGGCTCGACATTCATATTGTACTATTAGAGCGAAATATGCCTATAGCTAAGACTAAAGCATCGGCTATTAATAGCCTTCTATCTACAGACTAACGGTTAAACAGAGAGACAGAATGCTACCCTATAGTAGTACCTGCGTAGTTATATTAACGAGAACCCTAAGGATTGGGTTAATCTCCTATAGCCTACAGAATTCGTGTACAATAATAGTATGCACTTATTAACTAAGGTTTCACTATATATAGCTATAATAGGTTAAAACGCTGCGTTACTATAAGGTCTATTTACCTCGCTCGAGGCCGAGCGTAAGGAAAGGGAAGCGCGTTAAGTACCAACCCCTAAAACACTAGCAGCTATTAAGAGGGTTCAAAAGATACGAGAAATTCACGCTAAGATAGCTAATAAACTAGCAAAGGCCTAGGCCTATTAGAAGGCATATTATAACAAACACTATATACCGATAACCTTTAAGCAAGGCGATATAGTTATACTTAGTATAAAGAACCTCCGTATCCGCAAACACCTATTACCTAATAGCAAAACACGCCCTAAACTAGCACTACGGTTTATTAGCCTATTCCGAATCCGAGAACCGAAGGGCAATAGCTAGGCCTATTAGTTATAGCTCCTACTACACTACACTATCTATAACACCTTCTATATCTCCCTCCTTAAACTATACTACTACCGCGGAGGCCCTAAAGAAGCCCCTGCTAAACATAAAGAGATACTAGCCGACGGTAAAGAGCTGTAGTCTATAGAACGTATCCTAAAGCATCGGACTAGACAAGGCAAGAAGGAGTACCTCCTAAGATAGCAAGGCTATTTACCTAAATAGGACTCGTAGGAGGCTAAAGATTCCTTTAAGGATATAGCTAAGTTGTTAGATAAGTATTAGACTAGTGTAAAGAACAAGAAGAAGGCTAAGGGGCTATAATATTACCTAGGAATAATACTACCCCCGGGGTACTATTAGCTAACTAATTAGAGGTAAGCAATTGTTAGCAACAAAGGATAATAAGACTACACTAGGCGCGCTATAGCGCGTTAACCGATTGCCTGCTCTTTTAAGGACTCTACCCCTTTACTAACGCGCCCTATAGGTCCCCCTCTTATTCCCTCCTTCTATCGAGGCCTCGAGGCCTAGGCGATTAGCGAGGACGACGCGCGCGCGCGTAAATAGTAATAATAATAATAATAACGGCGTCGCGCCTATACTAAAGGGCGGCGTAGCCGGCGCGGCTATATTAGTAATAGTATTACGGAGTATGTTACTGTTTAAGAAAGGAAGGATATAGCTATATTAGTAACGGTATTACCGAGTTATTGTTAGTTAAAGAAGGAAATTAGAAGGTAAAGTTAGCGCTAAGACGACTAGCGCCGCTATTATTAACGTTACTTACTATTATTACTACGCCTATAGACGCAACCTTACCTATACTATAAGCCGGAGCGCACTATACCGGTTAAGTTAAAAGAATAGCTATATTAAAGGTTTAATTAAAACTTTGAGGCTAAGTTAAAACTTTAAGCCGCCTAAAAGATTAAGCGACTAATAGACTAACTAAAGGTAAAAACTATAGAGCTAAGCTAGCTAGGGTCGATCTTGCGGACAATAGGTTACTCCTCGATCTATCTAACCCTTTAAGCGAGGCGAACCTCTACTACTGCACTTATAATAGCCTTTATCTATAGAAACTAGAAGAACTGAGTTTTTTAAAAAGATATAATTAGTTGACACTTAAAGGCTGCCAAACCTAACTAATTAGGGCTAGTAAAACTACGATAGTAAATAATAGCCCTTGTAATAACAAGAGCAACCCTCGGAACGGACAAACCCTCGGAGCGGACATTTCTAGGTCTTTTAGAGTAGACGTAAAGAACTCGGAATAATATTACTTAGAGCGGAGGTAGGGCTGCAATACCTCGTACGTCTACCTATTATAGTAGGGAAGACGCGCCCGTATTATAATTAGTCGATAGCCCTTAATTCTTATAGCTCTATATCCCTTTACTTTATTATATATAAGGATAGCGCAGTTAGAGTTATATATTGTGTTATATTAGAGGTAAGGTTTAATATAGTTATATAATTAGGTAGTTAAGTGTTTAATTTAGCGCAGACTAGATAGCTTATTAGATCTGCTGAGTTAGTAGCAATAGAGGTCGAGATTGGAATATAGAAAGGCTATAGGGGCGCGGCCTTTAGAAGGGAAGCGTATATTAGGGCTAAAGAGGTTATACGTAATTAGTATGTAACTAGGCTCGAGTAAAGCTAGGGTCTTAGTATCTTAGGCAGGGCTTAGTACTTAGTAATAGGCCAACTTACCTACCTTCCTCCCTCTCCTTCTAGTTCCTTATCGAATACTACTTATACCTACTACTACCCTATCTACCTGCTAATATACCCTTCTTACAAATAGCCTATAGGGTACTAAGTATTAGCCTAATCGGGGGGGGGGGGGGGGGCGAAAGTAAAGGTCCAAGGCGTCCAA